ATCACAGTTAACCCAGAGATGCTGTCACTGAGGAACATGTGTTCCTCTTGCTTTTTGTATTTGCAAAAGCATCTGCAAAACACCATGTCCCTTGTAGAAGATTTCTTCTCCCTTCCTCCAGACCTATTGAGCGCTCATGTTTTCTGCCCTGAGGCGTCATGGAAAAGTATACCTGCCCCCGCGGGGTGCACTGAAGACAGAATTGTTCCTTCAGGGACCTTTATGTCTGCTCAGCAAGGTTGCACCTACAAATAGTCAGGAAACACGCTGCTGGATGTGGTTGATACATGTTTTGGACACCTTGCAGCACCAGAAGTAAAGCTTTCTGTAGATGGAAGGACAGCTCTGAGTTTAGGTGTGCTAGTGTAAGTCCAAAGTGGCTCCACAAATGTAAAAATTTGTGATTTCATTTCCATACCATAAGTGAGGTCCTATCGTGCTGAATGTGAAGCACATGTTGTCCTAGAGAAGCCAGTGCATATGAAGCCTGGGACACAAAGCAGAAAACAAAGGTAGTCTTTGGCATTGGGTTAGATTATTCCGTTGAATTATATCCACGGCCCAATCTTGCAATCTTTTAATATCCTAAGAGAGCAGGGTTGGTAGAAGGACTGACATGCTTGCACAGTTGTTTGAATTGATAAAACACTGTATAAATGCTAAACATTCCTTTTCTTGACAAGGAGGTTTACTTTTTAATTTGCATGGTAAAACAGATGAAATAATAAACCAAGACTTGCAAATAATTAATTTGCTGTATTCTGAAAGATTAGAAAATCTTGACCTTGCAATGACTTCTTCATATTTACACCCAAAATTCTAAAATGTCCCAAATACACTTTTGAGTGTAACTGAATCCAGATATAAATGGAGCAGTACTTCAGTGATTCAAGGGGTGTATTTTGATATATTCTTAAGACATAGCACAAGTTATATTGCGAGACAGTTAAAAGGAAGGTAACTGGTCACCTGTAAATTTTCTTTGGGCTCAGGATGGTAACTTGGACAAATGCTGATAAACCCAAAATTTTAGTGTGAGCATGGTCAGTTAGGTGCTTCCTTATTTAAAACAAAACCAACATAGCCTTTCAGGTTTTATGTGTTGATCATTATTTAGCTAAAGATTGCAACATATTATTCTTTTTCCGAAGCATTATGGTAGCTTCATCTGTGAATATAGTATTTAGAATCTGAAGAGGAAAACGTACAGGTTAGAGTTCTGTATCTGAAAAGACTTGAAAAAATAGTTTTGTCTATTTTGAAGGCAGCTTTGTACCTCTTTCAATAGGGGGGAAAACTTTGAAGCTATTTGGCTTCCTAAATAGAAGAAATATCTATTATCACGTAGGTGCTGATCCCTTTCCTACTATAAATGAGAGCTACACACATTCAGCATCTGAGAGCAAGATTGCTTCAGTCAGCTGCCCACCCAGCTTTTGATTTCTAACTTCAGGCTCCTAAATTAGCTGCTAACCTAAAGAGATGTGACTGCACTGGAGACAGCAAAGTCATACACACTTCTTATGCTAGTGATACATTTGATTCTGTAGATAGAATGAAAAATTGCAAAACTGTTTGGGTTGGGTTTTTTGTGGGGTTTTTTTCCAAAATGAACAGTCATTTAGGGTCTCATGTCAAAAAAAATTCTAAGACAGTGCTATTTTAGATAAATCTTTGTAAAGATCCATTAATGTACAAATTGATATCAAGTAGGTACATTGGTGCAAATCTTGGTATCTGTACATAGGGCTCTCTTGCTTTCCAGGAAGTCGGTGAAAAATGTTTCTACTGATTCTAGAGCAGAGGAGGAAAAGGAAGAAAAACAGGGCATAGTTTCCTATTCATAGATTTACCATACCAAAGGCAAGGAGGTAATTTCTACTCTTAGCACTTAAAATTTAGCCCAAGACATGTTATGGCCAAGTCCAGTGTGAAAAACTGTTTAACAGTCACAGAGTCAAAACCAATGCACTGATGTCATAGCAGAATTGGGGGAGAGAGGTCTTGTCCTGTACTCTTTGCTGATACATAGCCTAAGCTGAAGTTAGCTGGGACTTCATTAGTATTTACCAGATTATCACAGGATACTGTAGTGTCAGAGTACCATTTTCCCCTGGGAAGGATTCAAAACACCCTTTAGGATTTTTTAAAGTTTTGGGGGTTTTTTGTTTTGTTTTGTTTTTTGCTTTTACCAATTTGCTTAGTGCTTGTGGATCTGCATCTACATTTAGGAACCATGCTTAGTTGTTCTAAGTAATCATTAGGGGGGAAAAAATCTTTCCCTCGTCACTTTTCCACCAGCTCTATTTTCTCTCCATGTTTCATCCCTGGCAAATGCATCAGCTTTGACAAATGTCCTAAAATCACCTAATTCAAGGATAAACCCTGAAGTAATCTCTTTAAGAACTGGGGGCATCTGCTCCAGGACAGGCAGTCATCCAGCCTCACAGAAAGCAAGCCTAGGAGTATTCAACTAAAAGAAAATAAAACAAAGTGTACTCCAGTTTACCTCTATTAAAAAATAAAATAAATCTGTACTATAGTTTACTTCTGTATTTAAGAATTTGTAGTAAAAGACAGGCAGCAAGAGACAAGGAAGACTCCAGCTGAGAAGGATGTTGCTTAAGTTGCAGAAATGCTGAACGTAAGGCTTGTCATGCCAAAGGCAGGTAAATTCAGGAATATGAAAACAGAAGAAATTTTCTCCTTTGCCACTGCCTCCCCTTGTCACTCCTGGTCCTACTGAAGCCCTAGCAACAGGGAGAAGGCAGGTGCCATCAGAATAAAGTGCCCTTCAAGAGTGTGGCTCCCTTCTGGTGGGTAGTTTCTTGGGATGTTTTCTTTGTTTGGTTGGGGTTCATTGTACTCTGTAGAAAAATGTGTCATAATCAGCTGATTAATAGTAGCCAGGTGACCCTTGAAGGTGGTAATGGATGCATGGGCATTTCATTTTGTTTTCCTTTGTGTTCAGTCATGCTTGCAGGCAAAATAAGGGACTATACTGAGCAGTTGTACCATACCACCTGCCATAAATAGGCCACGTTTCCAGTAACTAAGCAGGCTACCATTATAGGGTTTTCCCTCCTGCAAGAGAAGCTGCATTCCCCACTGGCTACTTAATTAAAAATGGACCTATTGAAAGATCTTCAGTCCCATAGGAACTGATGCAAATTGTTGAGTAGTAGGTGGCTTTTTGCATTCTGCATGGCTATAGTCATTTCTGAGAATTATATATAGACATTAAACAAATTGCTTGTCTGAAATTAAAGTTTAAGAGCATTAATGGATATTAAGCAGTGCTATGGTACATATGCAACAGGCAGAATGCTCTGCAAGAATACCCAACTTTTTTTGCAATCTGTTCCCCAAACTATCTGTCTGCAGTCCTGCAGTCTACACATTCTCTTTTTGCAAGTCTACCATGGACCTGGTTAGGGAAGCCAGCTTTTGCAAGGTGGGGGCAGTAGTATGTTGGATCTCAGATATACTGATGACATTCAGAAGCAAGTGAAGAGACCATAAAATTTATGAAATGAATTAATATGACCATGGCTATTACGTTTTCCCACTGTAGTATATTGGGTAGCAGGCTGAAGATTTTTTGGTGGGTAGGAATTATGGAAGTTGGGCTACAATGGTTAGGGTAGGGTTTGAACCCTTTCCGTAGGAACTCAAGCCACATCCTCCTCTACTTCCCACCCTCAAGAAAATGCGCCTTCTTTAGTTCCAGGAAACCGGCTTGATGGTGCTCAATTATAAGTAACAGTAAAGAGCCAGCTCCTCTGCTAGGTGGATGTGAAGCCAGCTACACCAGTTAAAGACATGACCTAGCATACCATGGCTGAACAAAAAGCTTGTAGGCTTTTTGTCCCCTTCTCACCAGAGGCTACCTCAGCTGCCCACGCCATACTTCCAGGTGGGGACCAGGTTGTGCTGGGACTACCTGCTCCAGCAGCACATCTATTATCCAAGTGGCCACCAGCTGTCCGCAGCCAGTGCTTGAGCCCTGGGACCTGCAGTGTCCCCTTCCAACTGAAAGCCTGAATTTTGTTTCTACCCCACTAACCCTCCACACGCTTCTCCCTGGTGCTTGTGGTCACTGGTTGCTGGCTCCTCAGAAGATGGTGTGTCGCAAGCGGAGGGCAGGAGCTTCCCTGTATGGCTGGCCATGCCGTGGAGCCAGCCATCTGTCAGCAAAACAGGAAGGCACGGGTTCCCTTTCCCTCCTGGGCTCGTTTCGCTATTTTCGGGAGCTGTACTTCTCCCCCACGCAGTGCCGGGCTGCTGCGGTCTGAAGGAAGGGCTCCCGGGCGAGCGAGGGGCCAAAGCCTGAAGCTGCTGCTCTGCCCATCTGCCGCGGCTGGAGGTGTATTCATTATTAATGGAGGCAGCGGCGGCTGCTGCTCAGATATGCAGCCCTGCCTGGGTAAATGAGACATTCTTCAGCAAATTGCTTCGTTTTTTGATTGCTGATTGTACGCGTGTCACCAAGCTGACTCAAGGTTCATCGATGCATGCTCAGTAAATTAGAAAGAACATAACTATGGATCAACCAAGAGAATGAATTCTGTGCCTACAATGACCCAGGGCCATTTAATTTTCTGCTTAATTTTGTTGCAGTCAGTTTGCATTTTGGGTTATTATGCAGTAGGAAATTAACAATAAATAACAAATTTGGTCCTCCTGTGCTTGTAATGATATTTTTATAAATCTTTGTAATGCTGTTTTTAAAAGGATCAAGGTCTGTGCCAGTCTGATACTCCAGCAAGTATGCAGGGAGGAAATAAAGAGAAAAATACATTATTCTCCCCAGATAATCTTATAGTTAAATAGTAAAGGGTTTGGTTTTTTTTTTCCTTTTGCCTTCATTCTCCTTCTCTCTGTGTGTGGGTTTGGGTTTTTGTTTTTTGTTTTTTTTTTTTCTTTTTCTTTTTCTGTATGTGTATGTTATTTTGCATTAACTTAAGGCTCTTCCTCTCTTCTCAGATAACTTGAGGAAAATGGAAACAGATGAGGCTCAAGATATGTCCCAGGTTTCAGGTGAGGTCCTTAACAGATACTTCTACAAAGAAAATCCTAAACTCCTGCTCATCTTTCTAACACAGTACAATGTTTTTCTTGTTGTCAATAAAATTGCTTTGGGTCTCTTTAAAAAACAGAGATACCATTTGATATCAATCCCAACAGTGCATGGATTTTTTAAAAGGAACTGGATAAATATTGAAGCATAGATGTAATTTTGCATTAAATTTGTGGTATCCCTGTAGCA